CAGCAGGGAGGGAGAGAAAATGCATGTGTCTTCCACCGAGAGCAAGAGAAAAGTGGGCTAAAAACAATTACATCGTGGGCGAAATTACGCCCGTGGGCCTGAGTTTGACCCTAATTAATAAAGGCCACTAGTGTTATGAATGCTTACAAAAAAGAAGCTGTTTTTAAAATTTTTACAAAAGAAGTCTTCAGTTTGGTCCCTTTCAGATGAACTTCCCTTATGGGTAAATTTGATGCTTGTCATGCACATAAATGTCAATTATTGGTGAAAACTTATATCTTTTATTTTTTTAAAAGCAACAGTTTAAAGTTTTACTGTATATTTTCTCCCAACCCACCAAGGGTCAGAATTATACATAAAGGTTCACATATATACTTTATATTTGCAGTTGCCCTACAGCAACTAGATCCTAGGTTTAAATCCTGACCATGGGGCCTATGCATGTAAGAGAGAATCAACAGTGAATTAAAACTTGTGTACACTATAGAAAACAACATGCTGGAAATAATAATTAAAAGACCCAAAATAAGGTAATTCCTGTCCACGATGACTGTGAGAAAACCTACTTGATGCTTTCAATTTAAATTATAATATTGTTTTTGGTCCTTATCTAAACTGTGTTTACCTCAATTTCTTTGGATCCAAACCCAACAGTGTGGCAGCATTTTGACTTTCCCAGCATGGTGAACAAACAGAACACCAAGACTAAAGAGCAAAAAGTGAAAAGTCACATCCAAGAAGGACGAATGTTGGTCAAAGATACCGGAGAGGGTTTCTTTTCACTGATGTGAGGATGAGCAGCAGCATTTGTCTTCATCTCTCCGATCAGCCATGGCACAGGGAGAAGGGCAAAGGTGAAAGATGATAGATGATAGATGAAGAATAAACAAGCAGCACAAAGCCCTGAGCTCATGTTGCATATTTGAGAGATGCCCAAGTGTGAATTCAGCCACCACAGTTCAGGTGCATCTGTTTAAATGTAAGTTTTTGATGAATATTCTCATTACACAACTTTGCCCTTTTGATGTTTCTTTCTTTTTGGAGGGGGAGAAAACACAAATCAGGTTGGTTTATTGAGCATATTTCATCATATTTTAGTCCTACAAGACCTACAAATCTTGACAGTCATAATTTATAATAGCCAATTCCTCTGCTTTTCAAACCAGATAGGTAATTTTAAAATTCACTTTTCTGACATCCTGAAAGGCTTTGGAAGTAGGAGATGCATCTTCAACAGCACTTATGGCTTTAACAGGAATTTTTTCTTGACAAAAAATATTTTCTAGAGAGATTATGTCAAATTTATGCGTGGACCCTTCTTGGAAACACATTAAATGATAGAGTGAGCACTCTTACCTTGCTCAAAGATCCCTTGAAACCAGAAGAGGGCAGATTTCTTCTTACCCACCAGTTCTCTGTTAAATTGTTTTTCCTCAAAGATTACAAAACAATGAAAATCTTGGCTTTGAAGGAAGGAAGAACTCAAAACTGAGGGAAGAGGAGACAACACAGTTCACTGCATGTCTACAACAGATGTATACATTCACATACTGTAATATTAACTTACAAAGGCTAAATTTGCATACTGAATGGAATGAGTTAATATTAGCCAACATGCTAATGTTATAATTTAAGCTAACATCAGCATTTAGGCTAATAATGTTAGCCAACATGCTCGCCCATATGCTAATGTTAGCATTTAAGCTAACATTAACATTTTAGTTAATATTCAGTTATAAGGCTAAATTAACATATTAAATGGGGCGAGATAATGCTAGCCAACATGCTAGTGTTAGGCAAAAATGTCACTGTTAGCATTTTAGCTCGCATTAGCTTTTTTACCTAATTTTAGCTTATACCCTGCTGTTATAATACTCTGTTTCAACAAGTAGTTTTGAGGTAACTTCAGCTTGTTAAGCTGTTTTTTAGCTGATAAGTCTTCCTATTTAAACAGATGAAATGACCTTTTTGCTCTGCTAATGTTTCTGCTATTTCTGCTAATTTATCAGATTTTGAATTGAATTTCAGCCGATATTCTGCTTAGTGTCTTTCTTCCAGCTTTCAGCAGAGGAGTTTAGCCTTCTGCTTTCTGCTAATTCATTACATTTCAGCAGATTTCCTGCTGTCAATTTCAGCTTGTTTCTGCCAGCTTTCAGCTAAATAATTCAGCTTACAGCATTCACACTGCATTTTAGCAGGAATGCAAATTTTTCTAGTTACTTAAATGCTAACATTAGCATGTTGGCTAACATTACCTCACTCCATTGAACATTTTAATTTAGCCTTAAAGGGAATATTAGCCTAAATGCTAACATTAGCTTAAATGCTAGCATTAGCATGTTCGCTAACACTAGCATGTCGGCTAACATCAACTTAGTCCATCTATAATGGTTATAACAGCCTATATGCAAAAGTCTGTGAAATTTCTCTTTAACCCTCTGGAGTTCATGGATGCGTAAACGTGTCTTTTTTACATGTTTGATTTGGGATCATGCAGCAGCAAGACCCTGCCTCTGTGAGTCTGTTTTAATTTATGTTTAAAGTGATGATGTTAAACTAAACACCAATTTATGAATTGTGTTAATAGGCCAACAAAACCAGAGTTATTCTAAATTTATTAAAAACAAATTTTCAGAATATTTTCATCTTTCTTGTTGGGAGAAAAAAATTTTTTCTCTGTAATCTCTGAGAATGTAAAACTGAATGTCCTAGCAAACATGCTTGCTAATGTGTTTGCTGTTGTAAATCTCACATATTCAGCCAATAAGAATGGATAGCAGGTTGTTGCTAATGCATGGAGGCAAATTGCCCAACGGCGTTGAGATGAGAACGATGAGAAGCGGAGTAATGCAGGAATGGAGTAGCAGGAAAATTATAATAATAACAATATTTACAGTGAGTTTCTATATTTAGGCATTTGTGGCATTTAGTTTGTAAGTTTTATACAGTTTAGTAATTTATACTGTGATGTCAAGGATGTTCAGAAGGCTCGTACAGCGACCACTGCCGCTCTTTTCAGAGCTAGAAGACAAAAAGGGAGATTCGCAGCTGGAGTCTGAGGGAGAAAGTTCTGAGTTCGTCTCAGAAACTGAGAAAGAGGAGGGACGTTATAAAGAAAAAGATTAGGTTCTGGCAGATGCGGACGTGGCTACTCTGAGATTCAAGCAGCGGCGCCTCGCAGCTGTAAGGTCCTGATCTCCGCTGGGTCGGGCCGCAGAACCACTCCCTAGCTGTGAACCCTGGAAGACAGAAAAAGATGCTGACAGTGTGCCAGAAACGGGGGAACACCAGGAGTCCAGGTAGACAAAGTAATATCCCATAGTCCAAAATACCTTTTTGTATTGTTTTTTGCCACTGAAACAGTGAAGACAATCTGCCGCAATACCAACAAAAATGTAGCAAAAAACAAGTCATCAGGGAAAAAATACAAATGGAGTGACAGGTGAGTGGAACGTTTGTAGAAGTTTTATGGTCTCCTGATCTACATGTCTTTGGTGTCACTTCCAAGTATTCAGGACTACTGGAAACAAAATAATATTTTGTCTGTCCCCCTTCCCCAAAAATTGATGTCAAGAGACAAGTTTAGATCAATATTTTGAAACATCCACCTTAGTAATCCTGATGAAGCTGTACAGAACGACAGAAAAAAGGGAACAACTCCACATGACAAACTGTTTAGTCAGGCCTCTCTATGATGACATCCTCACTGCCTGCCTGGCTTATTTCCACCCAAGTAGGAAGCTGGCTGTGGATGAAAGGATGGTGGCAACTAAGGCAAAAACTGGAATGACACAATACATGAAGGACAAGCCAACTTTTTGTTCTTGCTACACAAGCAGTAGCTACACAATCAGATTCAGATAAACCAGTACATCTGAACCTCAAAGTGAGCATGGGCTGTCTTATGATGTAGTCATGAACCTCATTCAGACATCTGGTCTTGGCACCGGATACCATATTTAAATGGACAACTTTTACACCAGTCCCAAACTGTTCATGGATCTGTCACATGTGAAATTTGGAACATGTTGCACCTACAGGGAGAACAGAAAAGGATGTCCCAAAGGGAAAGAAAATGCTCTTACGAAAAAAAGGTAGAAGAGGGTCTGCCAGATCAGAGAGGGGCCTCTCGTTTTTCTGAAATGGATGGACACACAATGATGCTACAACATCCATCCTGCATTTTCTAGAGAGAAAATGAATAGAAGGATGAAGGATGAAGATGGCTCCTGGGCTGTGAGGAATTCCATGTCCAACACCAGTTACAGCCTACAATAAAAACATGGGTGGAGCTGACCTTTCAGACCAGCTGATCCATTATTACTCCACCCACAGAAAAACTAATCGCTGGTACAAGACCTTGTTGCTGCACTGTCTGGACATTGCCACAACAAACAGGAACAGGCCAGAGTCACTAACATGCAGTGCAGCACCTCACTCCGGATCTGCCCTCAGTCACCTTTTTAACCACCTTTTTAACCACACCCTACAGGTCACTGACACAGACCTTGGCTCGTTGGTCTAGGGGTATGACTCTCGGTGTGGGAAGTCCCAGGTTCAAATCCCGGGTGCATTCAAGTGAGTGAGAGAAACATATGATGGAGTTCACTCAGTTATCCGGAGTCAGCAGATTTAATCCCCAGGCAATAGACGTGTTACTTCCTGTTTTTGTAACGCGTTTCAGTCTTTTCTTCTTTACATTGGCAGTTGGGTGTTTTATTTGCAGTTATGCAGTACGACACATTATGCTTTAAAGCCACACCTCCAGGAGGTGTCCCCTTCAGCGGAGCAAAAGCGGGTCTATGGAAATGCAACACACAACGAGCAGAGCCGTATGGAGCCTTGCGGAGCTGTTCCAGGCTGGCCAAATCGAGCCAGTTAAAAAGGGGCGTTTGTGTGTCGGAACAAGACCAAATTGTCGCAGACTGGTGGAAACCCAAGCGTTTTCAACATGCCATCTAGCCCGACACCACACCCTACAGGTCGCTGACCAAGACCTTGGTTCGTTGGTCTAGACGTATGATTCTCGCTTTGGGTGCGGGAGGTTCTGGGTTCAAATCCTGGATGAGCCCTGTTAAACACTTCTTGGACAATCACTCAATTGCAGGTTTGATATATAAGAGTTTAGATAGGAAATGATGTCTATGGGGTAAATTGTGCATCTTTTTCACAAGGAGTCCTACTCAAAGGGGCAAACACAACTCTATGAGAGCAGCGATATACATTCTTCATGGTCTTGGTTCTGGAGAATACAATATCTTTCATTTCATACACTACATGTTTTCCCATGGTGTCCTGTATTCCTTTACAGTAACTCTAGCAAATGTCAAAGTTGAGACCAAAACACGAAGTGACAATATCTGAAAGCACATTAACCAAAGAGTTGAGCCAAATAATGACCTAACCTTTCTTTGGTATTTGTAATAGAATAAATTGAAGGTTTTCTTAGGAATTAACTTGTCCTGATACTTTCATACTTTTCTTTTGTTTCATCTTGACAGCATCTACATGTATTTGATGCTTGAGCAGTTGTAGGACAATAGGGTGTTAAAGATGCTAGGAGTCCCAGGAATAACAAACCCCCTCCTCCAACCTTTAAGTCTTTTGGTGGTTGGCACTGGATTTTTATCAACCCCACTCATCTGGGAGGAGTTTTGGTGATATTCCTAAAACTGTTCCTAAATTTGAAACTCCCTGTGGAATAGTGTCAACATGCAATTTACAGGGGATGGTTAGTTAAGAGCCAAAAAGCATTTCAAAACAAGAGAGAGAAGGAGAAAAGTACGTGAAAGCAAGCGCACTTTTCGTTTGTGGTTAAGCTTTTATGTTTCACATTACAAGTCAAACCATAAGGGTTCTAAGATGAGCAGATACAATCACAGTCCTACCCACCACCTAAACTAAAACTTCTGTAATGTGCACCTTAAGGTGGTTGATGAGAGCTTAAAACTGCTTTTTGTTGATCATATTCCTAAATGCCTCAAAGCTCTACAGCAGATGTGATATTTGTTTTAACACCAGTTTTCTTAAATTTTCAGTCTTTTAGGTGTACTCTCCTTATACAACCAAACAGGGCTCGTTAGAATTTTAATCTGGGATCTCTCACACCCAAAGTGAGAAGCCTACCCCTAGACCAGTGAGCCACTACCAACTGCCAGTCTTCTAATGACCCTTTTCCACTGCCTCGATTTGGCCCGACTCGGCTCCACTCCATTTCCATTACTGTTATTTCAGTACCGGTACCTACTTTTTGAGTACCTCCTTCTTATGGTGCGTTCACACCGAACGCGGATTCTACGAATATTTCGCCTCATTTGTGTGCTTTTGCCCGCTTGACATTCCGCGTGAACTATGCGTTGGCATTTGGCAACAAGCAGCAATGCTTCGCCGCGTCATCAAATAGGAGGAGCTTCCATCTGCTGCTTGCTGGTTTAAACTGAACATGGCGGACATGGATTTCATGGATAATTACGGTGTTTTACCTGTGGAGAGCCGAAAAACGCCGCCGACGTCGACGTCCCTGGGTTCACCAGATTCTTCAGGGACGGGAACAGTTCGGAGATTACCACCACCTACTCCAGGAGCTGCGT